TTGGTAATCAATTAATTAAGGTATGTTGTTGCCATCACTTTTGTGAAAGTTTGTGGTTGGAACACTTGCACTTTCTCTACACAGTTGGGATTTTTTTAACCCTCATATTTAGCGTTGACCCATTTAGAACCAAATCTTCATAGATATCATTGAAGTTCAGCGTCAATACAGCCAGGTAGAATTAAAATCTAAATAGCTATTTCTTGTGTAGTTTTTTTTTAAAAATCTGGAGATTATCGAATTGGATACCTAGTTGTAGTTTTAATTCAATAAATTAAATATACAGCACTAGTGGCTATAATCAGCTGTGGTACAGAAAATGTACAGTTAAAATGTGGCCTGCAATAAATACTTGAGAACGTGCTTGGTTCTGCAGAAGTTGTGAATAGTGGTGAATTTGTTATTGCCAAGTGGTATATATGCACAGTAGAAATTAACATTCATCAGTAGTAACTGATAAGCTGGTTGCAAATTCAGTGTGGCCAATTCTACAAAGTTGGTAAATGAAAGACTAGGTACTCAAGGTATGTAAGTAGGGAGTTTATTTACACACAAGATATTAATGTGTGTATTGTGTGCTAACTTACTAAACAGAATGAAGTATAATAGTTTTAATTTATTTTTGGAATTTAGACTTTTAGATATTTAGACTATCCCGAACACTGACATTTGATAATATTGTAATGGTATCAAATATATTGAAAAATGGGTTTTGAAAAGGTGCAGATTTCAAAATAAACTGGCAGTTTATAAAATGATCTTGTTACACCTCTGGGTTGTCAGGCAACCAATCCTGTTACTTTCTGGTTGTTTAGCTCAATAAACTTAAACTCAAGAGGCAAGCAATAGCTCAAAGCACCTACCTTGCAAAGACTTCTCATTGAGCTGCATTGGACAGAGACAAACTCTGGGCTGGGTTAGAAGGGGAGGACTTGCAAAGGCTTTAAGCAAATGATGTGAATCTTCTAAACAGTTATTTTAAAAGCCAAATTGCAACATTTAGGCAAAAAAGGGCAAGCAGTGACTATAGCGTTATAGAGATTGTTTTCAAATAATTATTTTTTTGCCTATATTTTTAAATCTAAGCTTTATTTTACTATAATTAATGTTTAGCGAATAAACTTTTATTTGATTTTGTCTATAATTAGAAGACTTATTAGGATTATTATTGATTATTAACCCTAATCGTTTTAATATGAAGAATGACACTTTTAGAGAAATTAAGATTTAGCTACACTGGTTCAAATATATCCTATATAATGAAAGTAGAAAATACAATATAACTTAAAGGAACATTCCCAACCCCTAGAGTACTTAAGCTTGCTGATATGCTTTATATGTGAAGAATGTGTCTTTTTTTTTTTTATTTTACAAAGAGTTCAGATTTAAATAGAAACTGGCACTTTTTAGAAATTAACCTTGTTACCCAGCCCTGACTGTCCATCAGACAACTGATCTTGCTACTTCCTGTTACTCAGTGGAGCTAAACTCAAGAGGCAGGCAATTGCTCAAAGCACCCGCCTTGCAATGATGTTTCATTACGCTTCTATATATTGGGATGTCTGTAATTTAACAGCAATATTAAGTCTGGGTTGAGTTATAAAGGGGTTTGCATAGGCTTCAATTTTTGCAAGTTTCTTTTACATAATTGCATACATGTTTTCATTGGAGGTATATATACTACACTGCGATTTACTTTTTTTTTTTGGGGGGGGGGGAATTTGTGCAATTCATTGAATTTTGTGTCTCTAACGTAAGATTTATTGGTGTAACTCCAAATGTTCAGAGCAGAAACATTTACTTGAATTTGTGTAGAATGGAGAAGGAAATTGTAAATTTTAGAACAAAATAGCTGAATTAGAAAATTTCTCCAGCTTTCAAGTTTTTCCAATTTGGCTATTGTGATTTGTAATTTGCAATTCTGTTTGCGATTTCTGATTCACTAAATAGTTCCATAATATTTTATTGCTGTATATCATGACAAATATTTTCAATGCATATGTTACATTTATCAAATGTTCCTTTTTATTAGTTACAACTTAGATTAAATCTGCCCACATAAAGATGTGTGGATTGCATGTTTGCATGGGGGTGTGTGAGTGTGTATGCACTTTGTAACAAGGGAATAATTTTGAATGTATAGTCAGTACATGGAACAAAAAATAGAAAACAGCAGCATATACTAAACACATTATATGCCAATGTTTTATTTTTCAGTTTAGAAATCAATGAGAGGCAATATGACTCTAAACATTATTTCTGCTACTGTTAAGAATGCCCGATAAGATGCGACATTCATCCAACATGATCACTTTTTAATATAGTTTTGTCTTGTTTTGTTGCTTATAATTTGGATTGCATGAACATTTTATTTTTATTTTTTGTGATTGATCTTTGCTGGCATTACAATAAATTTTGTTAAATAAAACTAACTAAAGTCTAGTTTAATATATTGGACTACACATTAGGAGGCATTAGAGGCCACAAAGGGCCCGGTCTCAGACAAGAACCACATACAACACTAAGCCACCATACATTTTAATACACATCACTCACAAAAATACAACACCCAGACACTGCTAGATACACACACACTTAGCCTCCACTACTCACATCGGCAGTTGCCCCAATTAACAGAACAAAGCCCAGGGCTCTAGGAGAAGGCCATAGTCTGGCATCCTACATAGGGTTCTGGCAAATCTTAATCTAGCTCTGTCTGGTGTATCTGCTTTTTAAGAAGGCCTCCATTTCTGCAGTATCATATGGTGTGTGAACATTAAATCTTGTGATAAACCTATCCCTGCCAACACATTTAAATGATAAACCTCTTTAGACTTCTAATATATTATATGATGTAAAGGAAAATATATTTATGAGTGAAAGCCGAAGGCCTTACAACAGATTGCCCCATATATCCTTGGCCTCCAGATTTGCCATCGTATGCTTTGGTGTCATATTGAGGAGAGTAACCCTGTAACAAAGACAGACATAGATATTGAAATACATAAGACTGATATTTATATCCTCGACAACTCCATGATGTATGGTACATTTTAATTAGAAAATCTCTTTGATTCACCAAATATAAATATAAGTGATATGTGAGTATTATTATTTTTATTGTTATATTATATTATTCATATGTTGTATTAAATAAGATATCCTCTATTAGTACTAATTTGTAAGTTTACATGTTTTATTCAATAAACAGTGACTTGGGAAATCAAATTCATTTTTTAAATTAAGGTATCCAAGTAGACAAATCATTGTTTAGCAAATAAACTTCACAATGTAACAAGAAATTACATTTAAAATACCTCTTGCCATTTACCTAGGGAAATGTGCTAAAATTGTGAATGGTGCTTGTACATCCTAATACTACAAAACTAAAAAACAAATTCACCTACCCCACCATTCATTGTTGGACAGTTCTCACAAATGCCTGGTGGTCCAGGTTGGCCAGGAGAACCAGGAGATCCTGGGCTTCCAGGGTTGCCATTTCTTCCAGGAGTTCCAGGAGGACCCTAAAACAAAAGTATGACATATCCAATATTTATAATGCATACATTTTCATGTTTGAAGGTATACAATATAAAAACTGTGAAAAAGATATCACAGCACAAAAGAACATTAGTAATTTATTTACAAAGTACCAGCCTATTCCTCTGCATTATACAATTAGAAATTCATCCCTTATCCAGTGACATCAGCTTGCATTACTGTCACCCTAGGTTCTTTGACATAAGTGCAAACAACATTTATTTTTTACAGTTTTGTCTCTAAATATGGGTCCAATTAAAAGCTATCAAATATGAAGCAGCATCCTGGATATTTTGCTTTCAGCTTGTAGCACTGATCTGAGTTTTTGTGAAACAATGTTAAACTTATTTTATTGTCCTTTGTCTTATTTATTAAAAGTATATAAAGTAACTTGTACTGCACTTATGTACAATGTTGGAATTCACTTATCAAGTGTCTCTGTCCTTCAGTATATATGAAAAAAACCAAAAACATTAATTTAGATGGTGGATGTTGAGTCTCATCACATTTATAGATTAGAACTGAGTTGCTCAAAAAGGTATGTGCCTAGATGTTGTACAACTACATCTCCCATGATGCCTTGTCATTTTGTTATGGCTGGAAAGTATGATTGATGTTGTACTTCTACAACAACTTGGGATCTACCTTTTTGATCTATGGACCAAAGAACTAATGATTACAGGTGTCTTATTACAAGTGTCAGTTGATTATTTTTAATAGTATTTCCATGAATAATTATATTTATGAATTTTAATGTCGCAAACATACTTGTTGAAAAATTATTTTGAAATGTGTATAGCTTTGATAAATCATTTGAACCATTGATGCAGTCCATATATGCAATGTATAGAGCAAGCAGGCCTTGTTTGTTGAACTGCTGCTCCCTCTAGTGGCAAATAAAAATGATATAATAGTACAAAAATATGTGTTCACGTAACAAAGTTTGCAATTGAGTTTACCTTTCACACAATATTTTTAATGTAAATTTTTAATGTACAAATATATATATATATATATATATATTAACAATATTTCATCCATAGCCTGTGTAATAGAGTTTCTCAACTTTGCTAGTATCATCTGTAATTCTGTAAGGTCAAATATTTCCGACATAATTATATGCATACTCTGAGATATAAAAGTAAAAATAAAGTGCATTAGAGGTTATGTGACCACAGTTCTAATAAACTATATTATTTTTATTATTATTTATAGAGCGCCAACAAATTCTGTAATATGTTCAACTTACAGGGTCACCTTTTTGTCCCGTAGTTCCACCGTTAGCTGGGCGTCCGTTTGTGGTAGGCTGAAAAATAAGAATACAAATTTAGAATTAGGCTATAGTAAATACGAGTAAACACAATTATTTTAAATATCTCATTGTTTATTTGAGTTGTTTCAAAAAGAAAATTGCTGCTACAGGATTATGATTCCATGAAGACATTACATGTCAATAATATGTCAATAAAATAAATTAGGTCCAGGCACTCAGGATTGCTGCAGGAAGGCAAAAACAAAAACTGCAAAGTTTCAGCCTACACAGAAGCCTTTATCTATGTAGGCCAAAACTTTACAGTTTCGGCCTAGTTGCAGTTTTTCTTTCAATAACCCTGCCTTCCTGCAGCAATCCTGAGTTCCTGTACCCAATCTATTTTATCTACAAAACTGAGTTTTGCCAATACTAGCCATGATAAGCACTGGAATTCTAAGTGTGAGTGTGAATTACTACAATAATATGTCAATAAGCATTACCATAGGATCAGAGAGTAATATACACAAAGTTGGGTGCTAACCCAATAATTGTCCAACATACATTTGCACCAAAGGGAGAACTGAAAGTGAATTCAAAGTGTATGTCAAATTAAAGCCCAAATATCCAAATTGGGAACAGGCTCTAATTCAGCTACACTTTCACTTACCTTGTCCTTAAATTTGAAATTCAGTTCAAATTCACTTTCAATTCACACTAGTGAATGGCTCTGTCAATGTTGCTTTCAGGATTATGGACTAAAGTGTGAGTCACCAAGAATAAAATGTAAATTTAAAATGATAAGATAAAATAACCCCACTGGAAAAAGGCTTTTGTCAGCTATGTTTTTAATTTGACTATTTAAGTCCTAGAATGTTAAATTCACTTTGAATTCATGCTAATTTTCCAATAATTCACACTCTAGCATTTACTCTTGTCTATGAAGTACGTATAAAAAAAAAAAGAAAATAAGAAAAATGCATCTCTACCTTTAGCATATAGTTAGATCCTTCAGACATATACATGTACCTTGAGTCATACAGTATCGGTCTGATGGTGTCACTGCATTGTGCAGTGAAGCAGGGAAGACCACAGAGACTATATTGAGGTTTTCAAACACTATCTGACCCCAGGTGTATATATATATGGTTGAAGGATACTGTCATATATTAAAGGTAGGGATCAGTTTTTTCCATTTTTTTCCCCATATAATTAATTTAACACAGAATCTATTTCGAGCAAAAAACAAGGCGCAAGACTGTACTGAGAACGGGCAGCAGCTGAAATAGCCTGCTCGTCGGTGGGTCCCTGCTCAGATTTCAAGCTGGTTTTAGCTCATCTTATGCCATTACAGAGAGAACATATCTGAAGCATATCAGACTGGTCCAGACCATACAGGCAGTCCAGATCCGAAATGCCAGCAAGTTCTCTCTGCACGAGAGACACAGCAACCCCAGACGATTGTTTCAACCTTGTTAGGCATCATCAGTGAGGCTTAGCTGATATCTCTCTAGGCACTGTGAGCAAGGAGTCCACATCTGGATTACCCTTTAAACTTATGGAGAGCAAAAAACAAGGTGCATAGTTTTCTATTAAATAATATAAACATTGTATGGCAGAAATAAAAATTGTTGCAAAACTATTTGACTGCCATTGGTAATCTTTGACACATTAAGATATATATGATAGGGAATGAAAGTGGGCATCATCAAAGTCTGATGTTCAGAAGATAACTGAGCTTATACTGCAATGATCCAAAAATGAGAAAGACTTCCTAGATAAGGGATTTATGTAGCTATGTTTTCTTTGCATCTCACAACAAATGATTCTCCAGCTATTTAGAAAAGCAAACACAATATGTCGTATTCCTTTTTACCACCCTGAGCATAGACGAATCGGAGAAGTAAAGGAATACTATAACGTTAGGAATACACACTTGTGTTCCTAATTCTATAGTGTTCATGTCCCTATCTAGAGTAGTCCCCACCCACTCTCATGTGACATCAAATTACAGTGCAGAGGCTCCCTTACTCTGGCAATGGACCAATCCAATTCTCTTCATAGATGGGCATTGAGGACCTGATGCAAATCCAATATTTTCTTATTAAAATGAACATCATCTTTTACTCAGTTAGTGCAGTGGAAGCACCTCTAGTGGCAGACAGTGTAACAGCCACTAGAGGAGTGTTTAACCCTTCATGGTAAATATTTCCATATCACCCATATTCAGTATACATATCTAAAATTATTTATTTGAATTAAAGCTTAAACGTACAGTTGGTGCCTGAGGGCATATTGGACAACATTCTCCAAATGGAATTTCAGGGTTTGGACAATTTAATTCAGCTTCATCACACATGATTTCATCGCAAAGGACCGATCCAGTGTCACACACACAGATTTGACATGGTTCTGGTTTCCAGACATCTCTGTCAGCATATGTTTGTCCATGATGCACACATGAATCTGGTCCTGTAACAAAATAAATAATATACAGTAATTACACATAAATCATCCAACTTAATAAACATTCCTTAATAAACAAATAATTGTAAAACAACAGCATTTTGACACAAGTGTATTCTGTATTCAATTTATAATTTTACAGAGAACTAAACTATTGGATTTTAGAGAAGCAGTTCGGCATTTTGGGATCCATTCAATGCGCCATTGTTCTGTTTTATTTACCTGTAAAATGAAGGCCCTACACTGCCGTCTTTGCTATTTTTGCAATTTGCATTTTTTTTAAACGCTTCACAGGTTATTCAATAATTACTGAAGATGTGGTCTGTGAACTATCTTTGTACTATGTGCTTATCTTTAGCTATGCACATTTTTTCATTAATTTCCTTTTGAATTCTGCTGCACATGCATTGTTGGAATAAGGAATTTAATTCATCTCACACTCCCAACTAAAAGAGGATTTGGGATGGATTTACACTGAATTTAGAAAAAATTATGATCACTGTAGCAATTCTATAACAAAGTTTTGCTTGGAAAAACACATTATAAGTTCACCATCTTAACCTGCTCTTTTCATATGTACTAAATTTATAGGGTTCAGAGGTGTACCCTTTAACAATCATGGAAATCAAAGAGCTATCTATATCCTTTTTATGAATGCAAATATAATTGTTAAGATATCTTGGTCATTAACAAGAATTTTGAAAACTTTAACTTGAACACAAAACTGTAAACGTACGTACCCTTAACCCCTTAAGGACACATGACATGTGTGACATGTCATGATTCCCTTTTATTCCAGAAGTTTAGTCCTTAAGGGGTTAAAGAGACATATTGCCCAAATCCCCGCTCTCCAAAAAATAAAATTACTGTTTAGTAGTTATATTGCCAGTGAAAACATTCATGCATTTAAAAATGTGTGAATCTCTAAAAAATAGCTTGCAAAAGCCATAGATCTCTTGTCTGAGGCCTTTATAAGCCCTCCCCTTGTAACTAAGCACAGAGTTTGTGCGGCTGTCCAATCACAGACTTCTCAATGCAAGTTAAAGTTTGGTGCTCTGAGCAATCGCCTGCTGCTTGAGTTTAGTTCCACTGAGCTAAACAACCAAGAAGTAAGAGGGTGATTGACAGCCGCGGGTGTAACAAGGTTAAATTAGCTGTGATTGTTGAGGACCTACAGCAAGTATCTTTTTTATTCTTTTTACTTAATTGTTTTAAAATCTCTTTCTAGTGTATTATCAATAAAATATGTCAAAAGTAACAGGTAGAAGTGTTGCTTTAAAATGTATTTCCTAACTCCAAACACATATATTAGTTAAAAGATCTCTGTAAGTATAAAACGAAAAATGCACAACCTCCCACCCCCCCATGCCTCTTTGTTTCATAGAGAGATAAATAGATTCAAACTGTAACAAAGTCTAAAAACGAAAAGGGTCTCAATGAGTTAAGTGAATTCTCAGATATACCTTTTACTACATTTATATAACAATAAGGTTAAAAAAATACTGTAGACACTGCAGGTATGGGTTTACTCAATTTCATCCTACATTTTTAAATGTGTTTTTTCAGTATGCTATAATTTAGAGTGCATGGCATTTTTTTTTTTTTTTTTTTTACTAAACTGTGATTTTTATCTATTTTCTTTCAGAAATCGAAGTGAATTTCAAAAATAGCTGACTTGAATGATTTTTTCAATTTTGCTATTTTGGCCTCACTTATTCAATTGCATTTCAATACACTTTAAAATAACTTCTATTTTGATTATCTAATTATAGTGACAAAAAAAATAAAATGTGTTGAAAAAATAAGCCAGTTTATGTGCATACCTCTGAAGTTTTTTTAAAATCTGGCCTGTGATGTAAATTTTTGATCGTTTTTATTATGTAGTACTTATGTATGACTACAAAACAATTAAAAAGTAAAAATATAGCTGTGATGGTGTAAAGGTCAGTATAAACGTAAAAGGTTAGAGCTGCACAATTTATCACAAAAAACAATACATTGTATCTCTGATGTACAGTAAAAAAAGTATATTCTTTCATCAGTTAGTCCTGTGGGTGGCAGTGTTTGACAGCAGTTTGAGCTTTCTTCTTGCACATCTGGATACAATGCATTACGTACCTGACTTTAACTTGAGTGAGACATGATATTAAAGAAGAAAAACAGCACTGCTGATTTTTAGCTCTGCTGGCAATCTGCATAGATTGCAATCATTTTACTTGGGATTTTCACATCTGCACCAATAAAGTTTATTCAGTCTATTCCCATTATGCATATACGGGGATTAAATGTCAGTATGTAATGATATAATGCAATGGACACTACACCGGCACACTGAAATTAAAGACCTTAACAATTTTAAAATAAGTTATATATATTTGGAATTAGTTGTTTTAAATTTGCAACATCCAGTTCCAAAGATAAAAGCAAAACAACTTGTCACATGTTTTCAGTACGCCTGCTGAATAATTTGTATGATATTTAGCAGGTTTATGGGTTTAGTTGCGTATGTTAGTCCAGTAAACCTGGAAACCTAAATGGGAGTCACTGTAAAGATTATGAGATGCTGTAAATCTACTTTGTAAATTTACTTTGAACATTGAGTGAGCTCCGGTACATAATGGGAACAGCATTTACACTAAGGATCCATGAAGATTCTGCACAACTGTCTTCTAAATGAAATTCTCTTGGGTCACAAGTGTGGGAAAAGGTTCTAGACATTTGTAATGCTAACCCTTGAGGGCCTATGTATTTAATAAATATATTATATTATTTGTTTTGTATATAACTAAATGCACAAGGTCATTTACTAAACTGGAAGAGGTGTTGACAGTTGCCAAAGAATTGGACATTTTTGACAAGAATAGTCATACTGGAAGAATATCAATGACAAAAAATGTTTCTAATTTTTCTGTTTTGCCATAAAATGTGTAAGTCCTATGTCTAT